ACCTAGATGGATGAGGTGATTGTTGAGTTTTCCATTTTTAACGTGTCAAGTGTTAATAAATAAAGAAGTCCTTTTACAAATACACGACTTTAGCAATATAATAGACTTTAAATATATGTGATATATTCTTCTTTCAAATTGTAGTATTAGCTAACAGATTCCCATTCCCATATGCTGGTCGCCCATTTGTCATTGTCTTCTTTAATTAAAGAAGCAGCGCACAAAACCAAATCTCGCGCTTGTTTAAACAATTATTTATGTTTCTATTCCTTTCAACCGAAGATGATGTGCAATGAGGCAAGCTCTTAGTCTCATAATTATTATTTAATTTATACAGATGAAGGATATGTATTTATCTTTAGACAAGTACAACTCAAATTATCTTTTGCTTTGACTCGAATTGTGGGGGTTACGACTCACATTATCAGCACTGCACTTTAACTTAAGAATTAAGATGTACACATGAGAATAATCTTTGGGGATATATGTAAAACTAAACAATTTCCACTTTTATGTTGGGGTTGAACACACGACAACCCGTGCCCTTCCGGATCTTGTGTCGAAAGTAGGCAAGCAAGAAATTACAGCAAATAAAAGAAAACTTACAGGAAAGAACGGACAAAAAAAGAAAACACCAGATTTAACGAGGTTCGGCAAACATGCCTACGTCCTCGGGAGCCATACTAGAAATTTTTTGATTAATTGAAGAAGATTATAATGCTCACAATAGGTTTCTCTCTCTCTAAGATCTCTAATCTCAAAGTGCCGTCAAAACCCTCTCAAAGACTTCCTCTCATAGCCCTAAAACATTTTAGGAAACATATATATACATAGCCCAAAATCAGATTCCAACCCGAACCAGGAAACCGCCTGACCCGACTTTGGTCGACTAATATCATCTCATCGGTCGACTGGTTGATCACCATCGGTCGACCGATATTATTACTTCGGTCGACCGTCCAGAACCCTGTTTTCTACAAGGTTTCTCGTGCGCGTTTTTGGTCGACTAGGGCAAGCCCGTCGGTCGACTGTCCCAAAACTCCTGTAATATTTTGGCTTGTGTCGGTCGACTGATGAGCTTGTGTCGGTCGACCGATAAGAGGATTTTTGTGCAGTTTGTGATTTTTGATTCCAGGTTTGATTCTCCACTCCCGAACCCAACATTTTATAGATATCTACTCCTCTATACTTAAAGGAGAACTCAAAGAAATATTGTTCATGCTACAGCAAAATACTGTAGCATGAACAATAAATCAAATCCATTCCCTAGAGCTTGAAGTAATGTTTTTTCTACAATAATTCAACTTGAAGTTACTATTTAGTGTATCATAAACAGTAAAGAAAATAAAATGTATTAAAACTTGAATATTTCTTTAAGTATAGATGAGTGGATATGATTTCTAAATTTAATGTATTAAAACTTGGATCATTCTTTAAGTATAGAAGAATAGATATACTTTCTAATTTTAAACAAACAATAATTAAATTAAATGTATTAAAACTTAGAGGGTGGCCAGTTTAAAATGCAATGCTTAAAAAAATAGGGGGTCGTGCTTTGCACGAGGTGCACACTTGTTTATATACAAGAGTAAGAGATCAAAATGTTATCTACAAAACAGTATCTGTTAATTTTTTTTCCCTCAGTTTTATTGTAGTTTAAGAAGAGCTTTCAATTTTCAGTTGTTCATTTGTTAATAGAAAAAGACTAATACCATAAACATGAAGGCCAACTTCTCTGATGTTTATACAAACGATATGGATCTAGATTCTTTTTAATTTGATGGTAATTAGAGAGGATTCAAATTATTAATCTGAGAACCACTATTATGAATTATGCGAACCACTTTGTGTTAGTGAAAAGTATAGCTGCAAAAGGAAATATAATGATGCAACTGTACATCTTTCAATCTAACTTTAAGATTCTCTATATCATATATAAAATTGTATTTTTTATCCCAAAAAAAAAAAACAATATTTGCAGAACAGAAAACATACTTCTTAACTTATTTCTAATTCGATCCGCTTAAAAAATAATTTGACAATGAAATAAAATGCATTCAGTCCAAACTGTGTATATCATTTGATTTAGATACTAGGCATGATCTATGCATTTTACAATTTCAACTTGATAATATAATGCGTTTTTGCCCTTTGCATAAGAAGAGAACTAAAGCAGTCTTACTAGCATTATTTTCAACATCATTTTTCCCCAAAAATTTTCTGGTTGTTGTATAATATTATATCATTCATTAGTGATTATCTCTAGCTATATTTGTAAATTAACTTATAAAAGATAAATTTGGTGAAAACTGTGTTTAGATGTCATTATAAGTGAAAATGAACAAGATAGTCATAATTTTAGCTATCTATTTAGTGATAGTAAAACCCTTTCTTTGTATTAGCAAATAAGATAAATATTGTCAAAAGTTAAAGGATATATATAATACAATAAAAAAATTATGAAAAGAGCAAAAACCTTTAAAGTAGTTTCGAGTTACTTCTAAAGCATCCTCTTAAAATTAGAAGCAGTTTATGAGTATGCACAAAAGTTTATAGCAAATACAATTAACTCCTGCTTAAAAATAATAAGCAGAATGGATTAAAATAATAATAACTAGAAGCAACATAATAAGAATTTGGATATTCTTCACCAGAGGGCCACTACTTTTAATCACAATCATTAACTATCTAATAGGTGATTCTGATACATTCTAAATCTAACACTTACTATACCCCAATTAATTTCATTTCTATTTTGCACTCAATAAAGAAATTATAATCACCCACTATATAATAATTAACGGTTTGAGTTTTTAATACAAAACCGTCACAAAATATAATGGCTTTTCTGTAACCACCACAAATTTTTTTATTTTCATAGAACTACATTGAAGATACGCATCCATAACAAAATACCGGCAAATTATAATTTTGCATCTATATCATGTTAAACTAGATAATATGTTAAATCCCTAAAATACCCTCATGGTGGGACCCACCAATCTATTATTTTATTTTCTCAAACCAATAAAATACCTGAGCACCATAGATGATCCAGACGGTTGAGAGGTTCCAATATGGCCCCCACTATCTTGAGTTCGATTCCCGGTCGCCTCATTATCCACAAAAAAAAAAATCCCTTTAAAACTTTGTTAACTCCCTTATAAGTTTTAATTCCTTCTAAATACCCCAGCTCATCCTCTCTAAAACTTTGTCATAATTATGACTTGGTGGGACTTTGTAAAGATATATATTTTCATGGTGGTTCTATGAAAAATAAATTTTTTGGGTGGTTTTTTGAAAAAAAGTAGTATATTTTATGGTGATTTTATGAAAAAAAATATCTATGGTGGTCCTCGAGGAGACCACTATATTTTATGGTGGGTTCGTATAAAAAACATTGATGGTTTTTATTACATAGTGGTCTCTCCATTTTTTTAAGAAAAAAAAGAAGATGATCGGAATCCATATAATAAAATCAAAAGCCAAACTTGTCCGAAGTATTTCACACGTACACAGTACACTTATACATGCTCATGAGAAGAGTCACATAAGAGTTCAGTAAAAGCTTAATTATGTCCATTACAAATAGCAATGGAGATTTAATAAGCATTAAAACATAATTTTTTTTAAAAAAAAATCCCCGTTACGGAAGAAAATACGGCGTCAACTTATGCCACTACCATATCAGGTCCTATTGACCGCTAGATTGCTGCTCTCTCCTGCCCTCTTGCCCCTCACAAATCAATACCCATTTATTTCTGACCCCCCCGCAAAATTTATTTAATTTGCTCCCGGACACAATAATAACAATCAAAACACAGTACTCTCTCTTTGTCTCTCTGTTATCAGATCCTTCCTTTTTCTTCTATTTTCAACTTTTTCTCCAACTCTCACCTGTGGGTTCACTTTCCTGTTCCATTTAGACCTCTCCTCTCAAAGATTTTCGCTGGTTTTGATTTTTCCAGAGTGTTTCAGTTCATGGGTTACTCTTAGTTTCAATTTATTGAAAATTCGGAATCATTTTAAATATGAGATTTCATGGCTTTTCTATTCTCTTTCTCCTTTGGGTGTTTCTTCTCATTTTGCCTTCTTACTCCATTGCTAATGATGAAGGTATGCTTCCGCTGATCGCTTATTTCAAGGATTTCTTTCTATTTTGGGTAGTTTTAGCAATTTGTAGGTAGCTGGTTTGGGTTATTTTATGATTTGGGTTGTTGGATTCTGTTTTGCAGTTTTAGCATTGAGAGCTTTCAAACGAGCTATTTCTGAAGACCCTCTTTCAAAATTATCAGATTGGAATACTCTCACTGGAGATCCTTGCAGTTGGTCTGGCGTCACTTGCTCTCAGAATCAAGTTCTTTCTTTGTAAGGATAAATCTCTTGCACCTCTAATTTTGACTTTTGTTGTATGTCCTTTTATAGAAATTAAAATTTTGTTTATTGATGTGATGGGGCTTGAATTATGCTAGAACTAGTATTTCTTTACTTGAAGTGTAATTATCTAATTTGGGTTTTTTGCAGAAAGCTTTCAAATTCGTCTTTGAAGGGATTTCTAGCGCCGGAAATTGGCATGCTCAGTTCATTGCAAGAACTGTATGTAGAAATATTTCGTTTGCTGTTTGCCACAGAGCCTGCTTTCTTTTAATTTCGATGCTGTATTTGCAGAATTTTGGATGATAATTTGCTTCTTGGAGCTATACCAAAACAAGTTGGTAAGCTGAAGAGACTTAAGGTGCTTGATCTGAGCAAGAATCAGCTCGTTGGGCCTATTCCTTCTGAGATTGGAGGATTAACGAGCATTGCAAAATTTATGAAGGACATTACATACTTATCCCCCCCCCCCCCCCCCCCTTTTGTTGCTCTTAGTGCGTGTTGGGTTATTGGTGATTTTAATTTTGTATATTTCTGTTTCTCAGAAATCTTCAATCCAATGGGTTGACTGGGTCCTTACCTCCTGAATTTGGTAATTTGGTCAACCTTGTTGAGCTACATTTAAATAGAAATAAACTCAGTGGATTAGTCCCTGCAAGCAAAAGCACAAAGTAAGTTGAATTTCTTTTAGTTTATTCTTTCTGGATGCTTAATTTGGATATTCATACCCTGTTGGATAAACATTCATGGAGACTTCTATATAATTCATGGTTTTCCTCTTCCTTTAAAAAAAAGAAAAGAAAGATAAATGCATGATTTCTTTAGTTGCTAGTCTAGTCTGTCATGCTGAAAAAGAAATGGAAGACTAAGAAAAATCTAACCGCCCGTCCTAGCTTTTGACTTGTTACATAGACAAGAAAATGCTGGGACAATGTGTTTACAAAATTTTGGTTCAAGAAATGCTCGACCAGAGTTGAATCGCAAAATCCAAATCACCTTTTCCCTCCCTTGTCGTGGCAGATTGCATTAATTTCTGGGATAAAAGTTATTAGTTGCTGGTTGATGTTTTTTAGAGGACATATGACTCATGAATAGTATTTAGATGGGGTACCATGAAAAATAAATCTGTTGTTAAATCTCATCAGTAACAAGTTAGTGATCTATATGAGATAACATTAAAGATATTAGAAGTGTATATCAAGTAGAATTTTGAAAAGGTGAGAACAACATCAACTATTTGTGGTCAGAGAAAGTTAAACATATTTTGATAGAACATTGATGATTATTTTTAGAGTCAATGCATTAATAGGTTTATATTTAATAAGGCGCCTGTAGGATTGTTTATCCTTCTCACTGTTGAGGTAGAATAAATGAAACATTGTTTCATCGAATCCTACCAAATTTGCCCTACAGATATGGGCTAACTTTCAAAATGGATTGTGGTTCCCAATATATCGAAGGTCTAGGAACTAGTGTACTTACCTTCTTGGCCTTCTTGGTTAGTAAACTTTTTTTGCCTTATCTTTCCTTTTCTTGTATGTAACGTTCTTTCTGTTAACAGTTACTTGGAGTCACTATATTGATGATTAGCCACCCGTCTTTTTTATTGTTTCTTGTCGATTTAATATTTACTCACTGGATCTTGATGATTGTGTTTTTTTCTGATTCAGATATCCATTTGAAAATAGGAGTGCTGGCTTGTGTCAGCTAACCCAGTTAAAAGTTGCAGATTTCTCATATAATTTTTTTACCGGAAATATTCATCCATGCTTAAAGAACCTACCAAGGTGCAAAGTCTGTATTTATAAAATACTTGAAATCAATTTATCTCTCAACTTCATCAGCCATATGAATTCTTTTGCAGATCAAGCTTTCAAGGGAACTGCTTTAAGGACAGGGGCTTTGTTTCCCAGCGCTCTACTTCACAATGTAGGTTCAATGTGTCTCTTAATCTATTTAATCTTTACGACTCTTGGATGAATTTTTATATTCGTACTGTTATATTGTGGTGCTGTAATTTCAAATTTACAAGCTTTACTAAATTTCATTTCAATACTTTTTCCCCCTTATAGGTTTCTCTTTCAATGACCCGCAAGTAGCCAATGATACCACAGATTCCCATATTGACGGTAAGCAGGGAAAGAAAAAAGAACGGAAATGGCTACTAGTTCTGGAAGTGGTCACAGGTGCCGTGGTTGCTATATTCTTGATAACTTGTGCTGTTATTACTTTTAAAAGATGTAAACCAAAGTCCTCAGTCATAAGGCCATGGAGGAGAACCACAAATTGGAAGGATCAGATCACAGTATCAATTGGTTAGCTCTATTATTGTGTTACTTTAATATTTTTAATAAATGAGAAATAGTATTTTGTATAAGGTTCTCATTGATGCTTTTGCAAGCAGACGAAGAGTTGCTAAAGGATGTGTTGAAATTGAGTCGACAAGAGCTTGAAATAGCCTGTGAAGATTTTAGCAACATAATCGGGTCTTCTCCCGACAGTAAAATGTATAAAGGAATAATGAAAGATGGCCCTGAAGTTGCTGTCATATCCCTTTGCATCTCAGAAAGCCACTGGACGAGCTACCTAGAACATTACTTTAAGACTAAGGTAAATTTACCAGAGCTAATATCAATTTGCAGATTCTATGTGCACTTTGTAAGGCGAGAAACTTCTATGTTTTTTTAGGTGGCAGATTCAGCGAGGTTAAATCATGAGAACACGGCAAATTTGCTTGGGTATTGCAAAGAGAATGATCCATTTTCAAGGATGCTTATCTTTGAATATGCATCAAATGGAACATTGTACGAGCACCTCCATTGTAAGACAACAAGTTTCTGATTTCTTTTGTGTAATTGCCTAATTTTTTTATTCTTTACATACTCATAATTCACATCCAATTGTTTGTTAGATGGTGAGGGATATCAGCTATCCTGGATCAGACGGATGAAAATTGCTATAGGCGTTGCTCGAGGACTAAGATATTTACATACTGAGTTGCAACCTCCATTCACGATGTCTGAATTGAATTCTAGTGCAGTATATCTTACTGAAGATTTTTCTCCTAAGGTAATCGATTATCTGCTACTATTTTATGAATTCGTCATACAAACTACGGATGGAATTCAAAAGTACTGCTGATCGTTCTCTCAGGTGCACAAAATATATAGATATAACAT